GCGCCTTTGAGAAAGGCTGCCCCAGACGTGAAACGCAGATGCGTCACCAGGAGACCCGGTCCAGAGAAGGGTCGGCGAAACCCGTAGCCGCTGGGAGCACGGCCACAAGTTAAGCTTATGATCAGCGTAGTGCACTGCAAAAGGCCACACAGAATGGGGTGCACCGGCGTGGACCATGGAGGTGTGAGCTACTTCCATGACCAGGCCGATGCGTTGCTTAGTGACCCCACTCTGTTGTGGGGAGTTTAGTAGTGTGTACGTCTAGCGGATGCCCTCCGTACGATAGAACTGTCCTAGACGGCCAGAGGCGAACTCGCCACCACGGTCACAGTTTAAGCAAACTATAGGCAGGTGGTGGTGGGCGCGAAAAGCAAGAAGCCATGGGAGGAGAATGGTGGGCACGTCGGGCTTCCGCTTTAACAGGAACATAATGTTAAACCGCGAGAAGTCGTCAACGACAACTAGAAAGTAGCATTCCAGACGAAGACCAAGGACTAGAGCAGGGCCCCAGACGTCCATGTTCAATGGCTGTAGTGGCGTTGTGGTAGGAGGAAACGAGGGGTGAGGGGCGGCGTTCTGCCGGCCCTCGACGTAGGAGGTGCACAGTAGTGCTACTGACGCAAGCAAGATGGGGAGTGATGCAGGGAGACCAGTGACTAAACCATGCTGGGACATATGCCTTATATACGGGAGTGCAGGGTGACCTAAGTGGTGGTGCCACAGAAGGGTCGGGTGGGCTAGTGAATGACAGGAACAGGACGCAGCGCCCTCAGCAGACACAGCACCTGACTGTGACTTAGTGTGCAGTGTGAAAAGACCAGGGTGTCGCTCAAAAGTGGCTAGGTGGAGACTGGTGGTTGTGTCTGTGCAAGCTGCGTGCAGCCAGGGAATGTAGTGGTGATGCCTAGGTCGTGGAGGTGACCGACACCCACGAAGTCCCTGGGGTGAGAGCAGTGCTGTCTCTAAAGTAGCAACACGACGCGCCAAAGTCTAGGATAAAGGAGAGGGCCGACGTGGCATGGTCCAGTTAAGGATCACTAACACAGCCTACACCTGACGCAGCAACAAAGTCTATGCCTGACGTAGCAGGGGATCCTAGACTACACACAGCAATGGCTCCTTGGCTACAAATAGCAGGATAATAAGAACCAGTAGCACTAGAGTCATCAGTATACAAAGAATACAAGGCATGATCTATCTGAACAATATCCAAATCAAAGATCGGAACACCACGACAAAGAAAGGTGGGCCAGTAGGGTACCTACACCAGGGGGCCGAACAGGCATCGGTAGAGGTCATGCAGGCGGTGGTAGCAGCGAGCGGCAGCATACCCTGCACGCTCGCAAACATGGCCCACCTGCGGGCAGGTCAGTAGCTGGAATGTGCAGGTCACTGCGCCTCCAGGACCACCACCTCCCTAGCTCACAAAAGAGCCACGCAACCCCCAGGGCACTGACTACCCTGGGGCCCAACCTCCGCGGCATCCACCACGACCACCACGGTCGAGGGTAGCGGAGGACTCGGTAGAGTAGTGAGCGACAACAGCATCCCATATCTCACGAACAGTCTCTAGAGCCTCAAAGTGGGTCTGCTAATCTGGGGGAAGGACCCTGGTCACTACTAGCTGCGCAGCTGCTTCGTGGGATGGCCAAACAGTGAAGGCGGCTAAGGTAGTCTTGAACTCAGTCTGCTGCGTGGAAGTCGCGTCAGCAGCAGGAGCAGCAGGCTCTGGAGGGATAGTTAACATACCCGAAGTGTGGGCCACAAGGGCCTAGCCGTCCTGGCGGATGGACGTGAGCTGGCGACAAATAGCGATGAGCCAGGCCGGGAAGCCCACAGCGGAAACCTCAGCATCCAGGCGGAGAACAGTGGCAGGCTGGGATGCCATAGCGGCAGGTGACGAGAACGACGACTTCAGCAGGGACGGCAACAGCTACTGTAGTGGTGTGCTGCTGGCAACAGGAGGTGAAAGGCCGTAGACGATGTCAGCTAACGGTGGTAGCGAGTGGTAGTGGTAGCGGCAGTGGCTGCGGCAGGAGCAGCTGCAGCGGCAGTGAGCGGCAGTAGGCAATAGGCGGCAGCGGGCGGCAGTAGGCAGTAGGCGGCAGCGGCGGCCAGTGGCTGCTGGTGGCCCGTTGGCTGGCGGACCAGCGGCGTGCTGGATGGCGGCAACAGCTAGCGGGTGCTGGCTGGCGGGTGCGAGCTGGCGGCTGCTGACAGGTGCTGGCTGGCAAGCCAACGGCAAGCTGGCTGGTGGCAGCGGCTAGCAGTTACTGGCGGCCGCTGGCTGGTGGCTAGCGGCGGCTGCTGGCGGCTGCTGGCAGCGAGCTGGTGGGGTTATGGAGGCTAACGGCGGCTGCTGGTGGCTGCTGGCAGCGAGTTCGTGGTGTGCTGGCAGCTAGCGACATGCTGGCGGCTGCTAGCTGGCAAGCCAACGGCGCACTCGCTGGTGGCGCTGCTGGCGGCGAGCTGGCTGGCGCTGCTGGCGGTGAGCTTGGTGGCACTGCTGGCAGCTAGCCGGCTAGCGCTGCTGGCGACAAGCTGGCTGGTGTTGCTGGCGGTGAGCTAGCTGGAGTTGCTCGCGGCCAGTGGGCAGGTGCTGCTGGCAGCGAGCTAGCTGGCACTGCTAGTGGCTAGCTGGCTGGCGCTGCTGGCGGCGAGTTGGCAGGTGCTGCTGGCGCCGAGCTGGCTGGCTATCGTGCTGGCAGGCTGGCCAGCGTGCTGGCTGGCAACGAGCTGGTGGCGGCTAGCAGGAGCGAAACAGCGATCGAAGGGCGGGCAGGCAGGCTGGCGCAGCTAGCGATGGCGAGTTAGCTGGCTGGCTAGCGTGCGAGTTGACTATCGAGCTGGCTAGTCAGCAGGTGCGCTGGCTGGTTGGCTGCGTACGAAACGAAGGGGAACACTAGCTGGGGGGGGAGGGAGGGGGGGGGTCCCACGAAGTGCTAAAGCGCAAAAAAAACAAGAGGCAACGCGATCGTCTTGGGGTTGCGGACAAGGCTAACATTTCAAAAAAAGGCACTCTGATTTTACCCCCCAAAACAAATCCCAAGTCTGAAGGGTCATTTTCAAAATTTGCCTACTCTGTAATCTCAATGTCCAAAAGTTAACTAGTCTGAAATACTCAAGGTTCTGAATGTAGAATCAGAGTCTATGGGCCTAAGTAGAAGTCTCAACTTGGTAGCTTGACAAGCGCTAGTCTGTTAAGTAGAGTAGAGAGCTTCAGTAAGCAAGAGGGCGTGGACTTCTTCCAAACTTTCTCCCCTACCGTGAAAATGACTACTCTTCGGGTACTCCTCCACCTAGCCACGCAGCGTGACTACGAGCTTCACTTACTCGACTTTTCTACAGCTTTCCTGCAGATTAGTCTGCATGAGCAGATCTACCTCCGACGCCCTCCAGGCTTCACTGGCTCCTTCCCACCTAGGACCCAATGGAGCGTGCGCCGCCCTATCTACGGCCTTCGTCAGACACCGCGCAAGTGGCATGACACGCTTCGCACCACTCTTGCTGAGGTGCAGTTCCTTTCGTCCTCTGCAGACCCCTCTCTCTTTGTTCGCACACATCAGACCCCGTTCTACATCCTAGTGTACGTAGACAATCTTATCGCTACTCCTGATAGCAATGCACTGGCCTTAAAGATGGTTGAGTTGCTTAGGAGGCACACCTGTAGAGACTTGGGGGAGGTGAGGCACTATTTGGGCTTGGAAATCTCTCATGACCGTGCCGCTCGCATGATTACACTCTCCCAGTCCCATGTGGTGCAGCAGATCCTCTAGAGGTTCAGTCTCCAATTCTCCTATGCTTGTAGATTGCAAGCTATCTGCTCATGTTTTGGCTGAGATGGTCAAGGCTAGTGGTCCATTCGCAGAGCCGGTGGGGTGCCTCATTTACCTGATGACCTGCACTCGACCAGATCTGGCGTACCCTCTTAGTCTCCAGGCTCGCTTTGTTGCGAGAGGCAGGCACCGATCAGTCCACTAGTCGGCTGCCACGAGGGTACTGCAGTATTTGGCAAGTACATTAGGATTGGGGCTTGTGCTAGGAGGACAGAAGCCAGTGGTGCTCACTGGACACACAGAAGTGTCGTGGACTAACGACTTGGAGATGCTCAGGTCGTCTCAGGGCTACTATTTTAGCCTTGGTGCTAGTGCAGTCTCGTGGAGGTCTACTAGGTAGTCATCTGTAGCTCAGTCCAGCTGTGAGGTAGAGATCTACGCTGGGGCCATGGCCGCTTAGGAGCTCCGCTGGCTGTCGTGACTTAGGTGAGCAGCCTAGGCCTGCCCCGGTCCTGTTTGCTAATAACAAGGCCATGATTCTCCTGTATTAGGAGGCTTGAATTTAGGGCAGGGCGAAGCGCATCCAGCTGTGGTACTTCCTGCTGCGTGAGTTGCAGCAGCGCGGCCACGCTCATCTAGTACAGTTTACCTCAGAGGGCAACACCGCTGATATCTTCACCAAGGCCGTACTGCGTCGTGACCATCAGCGATTCTGTACTCAGCTTGGTCTAGTTGTAGTAGGAGCTCCAATCCTTCTATCCTGATACATGCTATATCTTCTTGTACTTGCTGTGCTATACCTGCCTGTCTTGTTACACTTGCTGACTGGCCTTGTGGCCTCCTGTCTCAGTGGTCAGACTAGTAGTGCTGCCTTGAGTTGTCTTGCTACCTTCACTAGAGGTCAGACTAGTAGTGCTGCCATGGTTCGTTAAACGCTGCCCCTATCTAGGCTAGGGGGTGTGTCAACAAACATATATTGCTATGTGTTAGGATTAAGGACGGAGTCTAGGTGAACTTAGGAACTAGAATTACTCAAAATATAAATCCGAAATTCTGGACAGAAAAGTCGTCTTCACAAGAAACAACGTCGACGAAAAACTAGCCGTTGGAATGTCGCGAAACTTGGATATGTTGTAGCTCTTAATCTCAGCTACCGTTCCCAATTTGAATCACGTTGATTGATGAAGTATTCGCGACGCTATGGCTTTCGACGCATTAGGGGGTAAGCTGTAGGAGGAGAACTTAACTCAATCTCAAAAGGTTCAATCAAAGTTCAAGAATCTCACAAGGAATTTGAGGAGCAAGAGAAAGGTTGGGATAGAAAGAGAGGGACGAGAGGGAAGGTCCCAAGAGAGTCCCCAACCAAGGAAACCCCATAAGCACAAAGATTCCCTCCCTATAGGAACCTCAACTTTGACCTTTGTCCCTTCCCAACCAATCCATCCAAGTTGGCCACCCTTGCCAACCTAGCTTGGTTGTTCCCAACCAATTTGCAGCTGTTACAGTAGAGTGACAAATTTCCCCAACCCCAAAGGTCCCAACTCCATATAGAGTCACCCCACAACTTCACTTTGTAACCGCCGCAATTGTAACGCAAGCTCATGAACTTTGAATCTTCATAGCTTTCGCGTTCTTGCTCCGATTGAAGCGATTCTTGTTGCGTCGGAAAGATCTTCTCAAGATCTATCATCAAAATACCTGCTCAAACAAAAATAACACAGAACACATTCCCAAACTCCAGAACACACCACACACAAATTCTTTCACATTCAAACCACACATGCAAGTTGAAAACATGGGATGGGAGGCAGACAGAATGTGATAGCATATGATGACATCACACAACAATCTCCCCCTCTGGCTGCCAACCATCATCGACCATACCACATCTCAAGCATGCATACTCAATGCACACTCATCCCAGCAAGCTTCATGCCCTTCCAATGATCCGCCTCCGCCAGACGCTTAGTGAAAATATCTGCTGCCTGCTGATGGGTCTTCACTATCTCCAGCCGCACCTCCTTATCAAGGATTCTCCTCACCCAATGCCACTTAGGCCTTATGTGTTTTGTCAGCCCATGCAGACAAGCATTCTTGGCGAGCTTCACAGCGGACTCATTGTCACAAAACACAACTGTCGGCTTCTCCTGACCAACTCCCAACTCCTCCAACAAACGCCTTAGCCACACTACTTCCTTGGCCCCATGGTGTAAGGCCATGTACTCAGTCTCACATGAAGACAATCCCACCTCATTCTGCTTCTTGCTGCGCCAGCTCACAGCACCACCTCCCAGCAAGCACACATAACCCCCAATGCTGGTGCCATCCGCTTTCACTGAGTTGAAGCTAGCGTCAGTATAGCAACTCAAGAGCATCTCACCACTCTTCACATCTGCAGCACCTCTCTGCAACCGCTGCCTCACTCCACTGTACTCCAATCCCACTGATGCCGTAGCACTCACATAGCGGACCAACCTCTTGGCCGCTTCCAGCTGCTCATGACTAGGACGTGAAACCACGCTAGCCAGTCGTGATGTAGCAAATGCAATGTCAGGCCGTGTATGATTTGCAGCATAATTCAGCGACCCAACCATCGAATGAAACAGCTTCCTGTCACTATCACCCACTACCTCCTCATCAGCACATGGCTCCACAGTAAACCCTGAAGGTAGTGGTGTTGCTGGCTTTCCCCCATCTTGCAGCCCATACTTCTCAGCCAGCCCCTCACAGTACTTCCTCTGGTGCAACCTCAGCACACCCTTTTCCACATCTCTCTCCACATGCATCCCCAAGTAGTACTTCGCCTCACCCATCTTGGAGCACTTGAACTGCATCTCCAGCATCTGCTCTGCGCTGTCCAGCAAAGCAGTTGATGCAGAAAAGAGAAGGATATCATCCACATACACCAAGAGCATGAGGATTTCGTCCTTCTCCTGCAGCAGGAACAGGCTGGGGTCACACTCACTCTTCTTGAAACCCCCAGCCAGCAGCGCCTCCTCCAACTTGTGATACCATGCACGAGGCGCCTGCTTAAGGCCATAGATGGCCTTCTTCAGCCTGCAGACCCTGCCGCTCCCATCATCCAGCCCCTCTGGCTGCTTCATGTACACCTCCTCCAGAATGATCCCATTCAGAAAGGCAGTCACAATGTCCATCTGCCGTATCTTCCATCCCAGGAGTGCAGCTATCGCTAACAGCACCCTCAGTGTTGTTCCTTTCCCCACAGGAGCAAACACCTCATCATAGTCCTTCCCCTTTGTCTGCTGAAACCCCCGTGCCACAAGCCTAGACTTGTAGCGGGTCAGCTCCCCTTCAGGTCCATACTTGTGCCTGTAGATCATCTTGGAAGTGATTGCCTTCTTTCCAGGAGGCAAGTCACACAGGTCCCATGTCTCGTTCTCAATTAGGGACCCGAACTCCTCATCCTCACTCGCCTTCCACTTCTCCCCATTTGGTCCATTCAAGGCCTCCTCTCGAGTCTTGGGCTCAGGGATTGGTGCCCAGTAGCAGTGAGCGATCTCATCTTCCTCAATCTGCTCAACCACACTCCCAGCCTGCACCACATTCGGCCTGCCTCTTCCCCCATAGGTCAGCCTCACTGGAGGGCGCACATCCCTCCTAGGACGCTCAGGCGGGTGTGGAACTCGAGATGGAGACTCATGCTGCTGCTGCTGCTGCTGCTCTACTGCTGTTGGAGTCTTCCCATTCCAAGGGATGATGGGCAGCTGCCACAGGTCCTTGATGCAGCTGGTCTCCTCTTCCAGACTCCACAGCACCTTCTTCCCAAGCTTAGCACGGCAGCTGGTTGGTCCAAAGGTCACTTCGGCCTTACTCTTCTGCAGTCGCCGCACAGAGAGAAGGTTAGCAGACAAGCCTTTAACCAGCAGAACATTCCCAAGCCCCACAAGCTCCCCATTAGCTCCCTTAACCTTGGCATTCCCAACACCAATCACGGGGAGCAAAGCACCTGACGCTGCTGCCACATACTTAATCTTCCCAGGGGGTTTTACCTCATCAAGCAAATCTGCCCGTGGAGTCATGTGACTGGTGCAACCCGAATCAATCACCCAGTGCGTGAGAGGGTGCATCACAACCTTTCCCACAGATCCCACATCACCCTCATGCCCATGCACATCCTCAACCATAACAAACAAACCAGGATAGGCATTACCTTGTGCACCTTCACCTTGTGCACCTGAGCCTTGCACAGCGCCACCTTGTGCGCGTTCACCACTGGGCGGCTTCATGCCTGGAGGTGCCCATCCCTCCAGCCTGCTGAAGCACTTGAACCAAGGATGCCCAACCTTCTTGCAGTACCAGCACGTGCCCTCCATTCTGGTACTCCCCCTGCCACTAGAGCTCCCATGCCCCTCATTATAGTCACCTCGGCCTCTACCTCTGCCAAAGCTCCTCCCACGGCCTCGGCCTTTCCAACCCCCTCTTCCTCTGCTGCGCCCTGCAGCTCCATACCCCTCAGCAGTCTTAGTGGCAGCACCGCCTCCCACATGGCGTCTGCGGAAGTCCTCCTGCAGAATCTGCTGCCTTAGCCACTCAGGTGTCCATTGATCTTGCTGAGAGTTGAGGGTGGGGATGAGGTTGTCCCAAGAGTTGTCCAACACCGAGATGATCTTGGTGCACTGCTGCAGCTGAGATACACTGCTGCCCGCTGCTGCCATCCTTGCATAGGTGTCCTTGATCTTGTCAAGGACCGGCTTCACATCGTCCCCTGGTCGCATGGAGATGGCAGCAAGTTCCTTCTCGAGCACGATCACCATCGGGAGAGTGTTGGGCTGAATCACATCGCGTAGTAGTTTCCACGCCCTTGGACCCGAATCATCCGCTTCCACAAGATCCTTGATGTGCTCGAACATCTCCTTGTTGACCGATTGAAGGATGAGGTCGAAAAGCACCGCGCTTTTCTCAATCCACCGTTCGCGTGCTTCGCCTTCTTCCGGCATCTTCTCTTCCCCAACAGCAATCTTCAGTAGCTTGTAGCGTTTGAAGGCACTCCTCATCCGTCCGCTCCATTCCTCATAGTTGGAGCCATCCAAAGCTTCAACTTTTGATGGCGGCGGCTCACTTGTCTTCTCAGCTACAGCTCCTCTTCCATTAGCATCTCCTCCTCTCTCATTCATCTTCTCCTTGAGAAATGACGAATTTCAGCCCCCCTTTGCTGTCCACACTCAGCTCCCTCGATATTTTCACAAGTGTCGGCGTCCACGAAATTTCGGCAGAGTTTCCCTTAGCGGAAGACACATCCAACCTTTAGAACACCACTTAGGCACACCCACAGGCCATGGTGGGTCTAGAAGGGTCTTCACACTTCTGTAGACTCCTCTCAACGTCCTTAATACAGCTCTGATACCACTTGTTAGGATTAAGGACGGAGTCTAGGTGAACTTAGGAACTAGAATTACTCAAAATATAAATCCGAAATTCTGGACAGAAAAGTCGTCTTCACAAGAAACAACGTCGACGAAAAACTAGCCGTTGGAATGTCGCGAAACTTGGATATGTTGTAGCTCTTAATCTCAGCTACCGTTCCCAATTTGAATCACGTTGATTGATGAAGTATTCGCGACGCTATGGCTTTCGACGCATTAGGGGGTAAGCTGTAGGAGGAGAACTTAACTCAATCTCAAAAGGTTCAATCAAAGTTCAAGAATCTCACAAGGAATTTGAGGAGCAAGAGAAAGGTTGGGATAGAAAGAGAGGGACGAGAGGGAAGGTCCCAAGAGAGTCCCCAACCAAGGAAACCCCATAAGCACAAAGATTCCCTCCCTATAGGAACCTCAACTTTGACCTTTGTCCCTTCCCAACCAATCCATCCAAGTTGGCCACCCTTGCCAACCTAGCTTGGTTGTTCCCAACCAATTTGCAGCTGTTACAGTAGAGTGACAAATTTCCCCAACCCCAAAGGTCCCAACTCCATATAGAGTCACCCCACAACTTCACTTTGTAACCGCCGCAATTGTAACGCAAGCTCATGAACTTTGAATCTTCATAGCTTTCGCGTTCTTGCTCCGATTGAAGCGATTCTTGTTGCGTCGGAAAGATCTTCTCAAGATCTATCATCAAAATACCTGCTCAAACAAAAATAACACAGAACACATTCCCAAACTCCAGAACACACCACACACAAATTCTTTCACATTCAAACCACACATGCAAGTTGAAAACATGGGATGGGAGGCAGACAGAATGTGATAGCATATGATGACATCACACAACACTATGTATATATATATACATCTAATTAGAGTAGACATGTTTGTTATATATTGCCTAGCTAGGCCAGCTCTTAGAGGGGACAACACTATACGTGTATCTCCCCTCCCCACTTTCTAGTCAACTTTTTGTCGTACTAGTTTCACAGATTGAACCTTGAAAATGCTCCAACGTCATTATTACAGCAACCCGTGGCCTCATATCCCATCTACCACCTCATGAAATCCTCTCGCCAATGGCTAGGTGGACTACTGCAACCATTAGGACTGCCCACCAAGCTGTGGACACACGTGGTCATGGACTTCGTAACAGGACTGCCGGCGAGCGCATCCAACAATGATGCTGTACTCGTTGTCATGACCCGAGCCATCGAGCGTCCTTGAGAGTTCTTCGAACTCGCTTTGATACTTCTCGGCCCTTCGATCTCCCTCTCAAACCTTCACATGTAATGGCTAGTGTAGCTCAGGTGTTCCTATATCTTGCCTTGCCATTTATTACACCGTCATTTGACACAATAATTCACATCGTCAATACTTTGTTCCGCGCTAGTTAACTCATAACAATAATGTAAGAAATCAGTAATTCCTTACTGGGACACACTACTAGCGTGTACACCGAACGTACACGTCACCGGACCTGGCCCTGGTACACAGTAGTACACCGTCCCGTACGCTGCCACACCAAACCTTTTCCACGTCATTCAAAAGCACTTCGCGTCCTCGGATGCCTTCTCCGAACCTCTGCATCACGCGGTTAGGATTGGCCCAGGTTTCCTCTATATGATGTCTTTTATTTTATTGTTATTCACTCGTTCACAATTTCTCCATTGCCCTCTGCACTACTTGGCACAAATATGTTATGAATAATAACAGAGAGAGCGCGGAATTATAATGACGAGTAGAAGAAAGGGAGCCCGGCATTATACAGCGAGAGCCCTAGCTAGGCGACGACCCCGGAGAGCTGGGTTGGGTACAGGCACGGTCGAAAGGGCTTGAGGCATCGCGAGCCAGCCTCGGGATAACGTCGGAATCAGACCGAGCCTGGTCTTCTAAGAGTACGGGTGTGCGCGATGCAATACAACCCGGTAGATAATAAAATTCCTTATACTACCCCGCTCCTATGAAAGGTGGTCAATATCGGGAGCGACTTTTTGGGTCAAATACGTTTTGAGCACCGAGTGTTCGTGAAGCTAGTCGAAAATGACCCACATGTTGTCTTCGTTTGTGCGGTTGACCCAGCGGACTAGAAAATCCACGTGGCATCCTGTGGTGTCGAGGCAGATGCGATGAAACAGAAGCCGGAATGGCTCAAGTGTTGGTTTGGCCATTGGGCGGATACTGGGGACGGCCGCTGGTTGTGCGAGTGCTGACGTGCTGACGACGTAGGGACAAAGGAGGCTGATGTGGAAAGCGTCATGAATGTGCCATTCATCCGGAAGTAAAGAAATTGCGGTGATAGGTGTTGCCATTTTGATGATGCGTAACAGCCCGCAGAATTGTGGCCGGAGCTTGGATGGCAGGGGCAGGCGAAACTTCTTCATGTCAAGGTGGACTAGTTTCCCAACAACCATCTTAATATTTTGTCGATGAAGGTCGGTGTAGCTTCGGGCAGTGGCGTTGGATTTGCGAATCAACTCGACCGCTTTTTCTCGGGCGGTCTATAGGTCGGTGCCAAACTGCTGGGAGCGGGATACGGGATTATCGATGTTGGCCGTCGCAGTTATTGTGGGGTCCATCCCGTAGTTGAGAAGGAAGGGAGAGTGGTTAGTCGTGACGGATGAGGCGTTGTTGTAGGAAGATTCCAGCATGGGCAGGAATTCCTCCCACTGGGCAGGATCGGGGCAGTTGGTGCGTGTCAGCTGCTCCATGGTCTGAATGGTATGTTTGGTCTGTCGGTCTGTTTGTGGGTCGATTTTAATGTCGTCCGCTCCAACGGCGTGTTCGAAAAATTCCAGTTCGGATTTTAGAAACTCGCACTTAGAGCCTTTGGTGATGAGGCGGTTCTGCTGCAGGCGTTGAAAAACTGTGTCGAGGTCCTTGAGGTGCTGTTCCTTGGTCTTGTTGAAGATGAGAATATTGTCGAGGTAGATGATGACACACTTGTCGAGCAGATCTCTGAACACGCCGTTCATGGTCAGCTAGAATGTTGAGGGTGCGTTTGTGAGGCCAAATGGCATCACCGTGTACTACTAGCGGCCGTAGAGGGTTCGGAACACCGTCTTGTGGCAATCGTCAGCAAAAACGCAGATCTGATGGTAACCACCTCACAGGTTGATCTTGGAGAAGAAGCGAGCTCCACGAAGATGGTCCAGGAGATCGTCAGCATGTGGGATTAGGTAGCGAGACTTGATCTTTTTGTGATTCAACGCCCTATAGTCAGTGCACATTCGGAGCTCTCCGTCTTTTCTGGGCATGAACAGAATGGGCGTTGCAAACGGGGACGTGCTGAGACGACTGAAGCCCAGTTCCAGCACATAATCCAGCTAGCTCCGCAACTCGGTGAGTTCGGGCTGAATCATCCGCCACTGTGTCCTGACGGTTGACTGCGCGCCAAGCTCCAGGTCGATCTTATGGTCCTGGGGGCGCTCAGGTGGCAATCCGGCTGGTAGGTCATCCGGAAAAATATCAAGATACTGTCGAATCAGCGTGGCAAGCTCGTCGGGTATAGCAACGCATAACGTGTTAATGTCCCGCGGCGTGTCGTCAGGTGTTGCCGCGTGGAGATGGACGGCGTACAAGTCGGCTCCCTTTTTTACTGCTCGCTGGAGCGTGATGGCGTTGACACGTGTCGACACCGGATCCCGTCCTCACCAGCAGGGAAGTACGCGTCATCCACTTTTATTGTTAACGCTGCATTCTCCAGACGTCCAGCTGATGTGTGGGTTGTCATTTCGCAGCCAATCGCGCCCAATAAGGATATCGCAGCCATCCAGCATCATCGCCAACATGTGCACGCTGAATTTGAAATCATCGCCAAAATTCATCCGCACCATGAGCGCTCGCTCCTGAATCACCAGTGGAGTCCCATCCATCAATCGCACGTCGATTTCGGGAGACGTTTCTCCAATGTCTGCTTCAACTATTTCGGTGTTGTCACGTGGATCAGGCTGTAACTATCCTCGCCATCCACAAATAATTTTATATTTTTACCATTCACCTTGCCTTCGACCAGCACAGGGTGATCTTCAGGTTTGCCCACATTATTGGTCCGAGTGCAGTCGATAGTGTGTATCGGTACCACAACTTGGTGTGAACGCTGAAGTTCGGGCGACAAAACCTCGTCAGTAGGGGGCCCGTTTGCTACAGAATTTTCCCATTTCCTGGCTTCTCCTTATCGTTCTTCGTCGTCTTGGGCATCGTCGGGCAGTACTTAGCTCGTGACCTGGCTTGCCACACCTGAAACATAGCCCCAAAAATTCCTCATCAGGGGCTGAAACACCGTTCATCGTGAGGCGAGAGACTGTCCACGAAAATGACCAACATCTCTGCCGTTCTTTCTCGCCTACTGCTGCAGTGCATCGGCTGTTGACGCTAGCTGTGTAGCTTCATCAAACTTTTTGGGTTCGGATCGCTGCAACTTGTACTGAATGTCAAAATGCAGCCCACTAATGAATCACTCCTGCCTTTCCGCTTCGCTGAGGTCGTCCACATGGTCTGCAAGTGCCGAGAACGACGCTATGTAATCTTGAACAGCAGTCATCTACTGCCAGTTCTGTAGCTTCATGTAAGCATCGTCTGAGGCGGATGAGTGCTCAAAACGAGCTCGTAGAAAAGTGCCCCATTGCTTCCACGTGCAGATCATGGTCGTACCGAATATCGTTTCTACCTGTTGGGTTGGAAGATTCGAAGTCCTGTCCTTCGCCTGCGAGTTCCCGTTGTCAACTGATGTCACCACCAGTCCAGCGCTGGAGCTCGAAGCAGCAACATGGCAAAAATAATGTGCGCGTTGGCTACGTTCACACTTGCAGCGGGTAAAGAATAACTCCATGTTGAACAGCCACCCCTGTATAGTTGTCGCCTTGTCCGATGGGTTGAACGGGGGAGGCGTGGCTGGCTTGAGTTAAATATTTGTGACAGTAACAGTGCGGACGTCGTCCTGCTCCAGTTCCTATGCGAGCTCGTCGAGGATGGTCTCACTCGCCGCGTTGTTTGCTTCTTGCTTTACATCATTCTCTGCGACCCCAGGCAACTCCGGGCGCGCTTCACCACGCGCCTAGCGAAGTTCAGTGTTCTCCGTCTGAAGTCTCACGACTTCGCTGTTCAAGCTCGCCATTTGGGCTTGTATTGCATGTTGTAGAAATGAACCACGTATTTAGCGTGGCCAGGATCTAGATTTGGTGGAACCATGAGTAAAAGTTAGCGGAAGGCTTTACACTTTGTATTTGAAATGTCTGAAATGACAAGGATAATAATAATCGATAATATAGACACATTTATAGTCTAGAATGTACCTATTTGCATGTACTTGTTTGTAGTGTAACGCGACTATTCGCCTGGCATGACTAGTGACTGTTCGTGTGACTGAGAGTGGCATAAACCTTCGGGTGATTATATGCGCGAACCTAATGTTTACGTGTTGACTCGCTACTGCTGATGTCATCACGCACGACCTTCCATTTGAGGTATCGCGCTACTAGTACAGTCTAAGTATTATATCAAGAATGCATAAGTAAGCTCTGTCGAGTATACTTCAACACTCCCCTTCATTCCTGAGTGTATGTCTCTCGATAAGTGTCGCTACGTTTGCAGATTCCAACCAGATTGGAGCAGTACTGAAACTAGCTGCGTGGGAGCTTCTTCGTAAAAAAATCAACTGACATTTCTTCTGTAGGGCAGTATTTCAGGATGACCTTTCCTTTGTCGGTTTCGTCCTTGACGAAGAAGTAGCGGAGGGCGATGTGTTTTGTCGTGTTGACAAAGCCGGGCTTGTTTGCAGTCTTGATTGCGCTCTGGTTGTCACAGTTACGTGTCGTTGTGATTTTTGCCTCTTGAAGTAACTCTTGAAGATAGAGTCCTTCGCGAACTGTAGAGCTTGCTGCGACAAATTCTGCTTCGGCTGATGAAAGTGCAATGACTTTTTATTTCGTTGAGTTCCAAGAAATGATACCACCTGGTCCAAGTTTGAAAATGAACCCTGTATGCGAACGCCTGTTGTTGGGGTCAGCAGCGTGATCCGCATCAACGTATTTAGTCAGTCGAATATTCGCTACAGACGTTGTCGTGTAGCTGATGCGGATTGTAGGAGTGGAAATGAAATATTGGAGGGCTCGACGAAGATCGGCGGCGGAGATACTATGCGAGCTGACTCTTGAAGTAGGTGGCATGTAACGGCTGCAAATAGAAGACACCCAAGCTGCTGCTGGTAAAGCTGATGCTCGGAGGCGGTAAGTGGGGTAGTATCAGGTGTGTGATCAGCTGAAATGTGACGAAATGGAGTGGTGAGACCGATAGGAGCGATGGCAAAGTTTTTTTGCAAGTGTTTCTGCATAATTGCTTGTAGAAAGATGGATGTAATTGGGGCCGCAGTCGATGTTTAACCCAAGAAATTGGGTGACGTTTGGAGAAATAGTCACTTCAAAAATCGTTTGGATTCTCTTCTCCATGCACGCCAAAAGACGGTTGCACAAGGCGGTGTACAAAAGTCCCCATGTAGGCGACTAGGAGAATGTAATTCCCCCGAAATTCAATTATGTACATTCCAGGATCGTGGGGCAGCTGCACGACATCGAGTGAAGTCAGCACTTTGTGAAGATGCTTTTGCCACAAGTGAGGAGCCTATTTAATGTCGTAGAGGGACTTAAGTAATTTGCAGATGTGGAGTCCGTCACCGTAAGTGTGAGGGATTTTGACGAAAATATCTGCATTGACGTTTGCATATAAAAACGCAGCTTTAACGTCCAGTTGGCGAAGTGGAAGGTGGCGGCTGACAGCAATGGCGAGAAGAATTCGAACTGAGGTATGTCGGCTGACCGGAGCGAAAGTCTGGTCGTAGTGGATGCCGTGGGTTTGTTCGAAACCTTGAACGACCCATCTCCCCTTGAATTTGTCCGATTCGCCTGCTGCATTTGTTTTTATGCGAAAGACCCACTTGCTCGAAAGAATTTTCTTGCCGCGTACTGCTTTGCGCGTAACGAGTTTCCACGTTTTCCGCTTGTCGAGAACTGCTACCTTTGCATCCATTGTCGCTTGTCATTTTTCAGCATCACAGCTGGAGAGGGTCTGCTTGATTGTTTTCGGTTCAATCCCGGTCGTTGGTTGCTGAAGTGCGACAGTAAGACCGAGAATCTGAAGAGCCAATTTGCGCTCGGAGGTCTGTATTAAACCATGCAGCCCCAAACTTGCAATAGTCGAGTGTTGGCGTGGTGTTTTGTCCACATAACATATGGCGAGCTGAACTGAGGAAGAGCTGTTGAAGACAAACAGTTGTGTAGGCGGACAGCTTGCGCCATCGCAAACGGCCAGAAATCAGATGTCAAGCTAGACTGTTGTAGCAGCACGCACATTTTCTCTTGCAGCGTCCTATTAGTTCTCTCAGCTACTCCATTCTGCTGATGGGCATAAGGCACAGACTTGTGCCTGAGTATCCCTTTCCGTGCCAGGAATTCATCAATTGCTGGCTAGTGTACTCGCCCGCGCTGTCTGTCTAGCTCTTTCAGCCTGATGGCGCTCTGCTGCTCCGAGATTTTCAGCCATAGCTTGAAGGTGTCGAGAGCTTCAGACTTGTCAGAGATGTTCTTGTGCCATACATATCGAGTAGCTCCATCGATGAAGGTCATTATATAACGGTAGTTGTTGCCGCTGATATCTTCTGCTTCCTGTAGCATGAAGAGTATGTCACTGAAAACGACATCCATAGGTGAGTACTTAGTAGCACTTGGAAAGTGCGACAGGAACAGAGCGTGACTTAGGTGAGCTCCGTGGCAGATGGTGAAAGGTAGTTGACAACTACTAGGTCAAAGCTCTTGACCGTTGGTTAGAAGGAGAGCGTCCTTGTCGAAAATCGATGCTTTAATCGAGTTGTTGAGAGCTTCTTGCAAGGGATGACCAAACCGCTTATACCAAATTTCTGCTGTAGTCGTGTGTCCGTTTGAATGCAGGTACAAGCTGGAGTCGTGTGTCCTTTCACCATCTGCTGTAGTCGTGTGTCCGTTTGAACGCAGGTACAAGCTGGAGTGAAGGAAGAAGGCCGAGGAAAGATGAATCGTTGGCGCAGTGCCAAAAGGCTGGATGAACCCAGCTTCTTCTGCAGTTTCAATCCAAGGTATGCCGAGGTGTCGGCAACGCCCCCAAGAATCAGGTACGATAAATTCTTTCTTGCCCCATATGCGTTCGGCCTCCATAGGTTCTTCGACTATAGCATACGTTGGTTCTTGATTGTCGTAACTCCAATTTCCATCTCCAGATGCTCATGTTCCTTGAAGTGTTTCTGCTGTTGCTGATGATGCTTCTGTTGGCTCTGCTGCACGTTCATTGAGGGAGTTGGTGCAAGAAGACATTAAGACCATGATGGTCTTGGCGTTGAAGATCTATTTCCCAGTGATGATGCCAAGGAGCAAGTGAGACGTTTTTCTCACTGTCACCAGATGCCTTTACAGGTGAAAAATGTAGAACAGAGGCGCCGTCTTTAATTTATGCGATGCCGACTAAGTTGCTCTTGTCTTCCTTCTTGTCACCCAGGAAAAACTCCGTGAGCATCACGTTGGCGGTGCTGACGAAGCAGATGCCACTTTCCATCAGCTGCGCTTGTGATAATACAGTGACGGAAACAATTGTCCGGATGTTTTGCATTAATTAGGGTTTTCGGGCTTTCCAACCACTGTACACAAATTCTTAATTGTTAATGGTGGTACGCTTTGGGAGGGGCACATAGTGGATATGTTCACTATGCTAAAATCCATAATAGTACACTGGATCTAACTTAGTGCCAAAAGATATACAAAGAGTACATCCGGACAATTATTTCCCATGACAAAGAGCAAACTTCCGAGCAGCGTTTCTAGTACCTACTCCACCAACACTTGGCTTTGATCACCACCTGCACCCTCCTAGGCATGTTATCTACGAGGCTAGTATAAACCTTTGCAAGGATCTTCTCGCACTTTTCCTGGACCCACCTTTTTGAACAAGGGGGTGAGCACTAGGAAAATTGCGAAGGATTTTAGCGTATGCAAGAGTATTGTGCACGATTTCATATTGAATGTTATCTCTGACACTAGTCATACTGAGGTGTGGCCAAAGATGCCATAAGTCGATTAGTCCCATCTTGTCATGGATCGTCTTCATCGTACCGTTGTAGGGTAAAATTACGAGCAAAGTGGCGAAAACTAGTGCGTCCGCCGCAAAACTTAGAGTAACATAGCACGGTCGACTATGCTCCCTTTCACTAATAGAATCACATTAAAATCTATGGGTCTCG